CAGAATATATTTATATGTGAAATCACAAAAACAAACAGAAGATGTTTTCCCGCCAAAAATTGATTTTAATTTTTATTATCCGCTTCTAAAACCTCGATCAGTGTTAATATAGAAAATTTTTTTTTGCAAAAAATGAACTGTTGGGAAATAAATGTACATATTTTTTAAAATGTTTTTTTTACTCTAAAAAAGCCGAAAATACTATACTGAAAAAGATAGTTCGTCGAAGATTCATTAGAACCGATTTAATCGTAAAATTCAAACGTTCTAACTCTCGTTCGGTTACGAGCCTGAAACGAGTTTTATAGCAATTGTGGAACAACCCTGTCGGGCAAATGCTCTGACCAGCAGCTAGTTGGACAATCGCGACTTGACAGTGAGGTTTAACGAGCCCTATGCTCGCACCCCTCCCCCCTCTCCTATCTACTCCGGAAGGTCATTTAATTATTCGAGAAGCCCCCCCTGTACGTTTGGGTAACTATGTTTGGTCATCCTTTCCTGTTTGACCTCTTTCTTTCTCTCTCTCACTCCCCCACCATCCCACTGTATATGTTGAAAACATCATCCCTCCTCTTCACTTCATTCTGTTCCCTCATTCCACTTTTCTATCTAGCAATCGTCCCTGGTGCCAGTTTCTATATTAAACCACTGGTACGTACGCAAGATAATAAAGACGTATAATGGAATCGAAATTGTTTCTCTATCTATCAATGCCATGCACTGACCCTTTCTCTTGCAAAACACACTCTTTGCAAACGTTCAGCGACAGATTCAATTAAGTTCAGAGTTTCAGACATGTTTAATTTGTGTCTTGATTCGTGGTCATTCTGATCACTATATACCAACCAGAACTTGTAAATATTTTTATATACATATAAATATGCAAACATTAAATCTACTTATGCAATATCTGAGATTATTTTATTATCCATATATGTGATAGAGAAATTTAATTGAATAAAATTTTAAACTTGGATATATAACTTTCTAAAAATAAATATTAAATTTCAATTACTCTACAAAGTATTGAGTTATGGGAAATAAGTATATATATATATATATATATTTATACTAAAGATTTAGTTTTAAGAGATTTCAAACCATATATATTTATTGTATAAGATAAAGTAAACAAAAAATAGCTACACACACTGAAAAAAAAATTTCTTTGATTGAAATACTTCAAATTATTTGAAAAATATTTAATTGGTTCAAATACTTTTTATTTGGTTCAATTAAATAATTAATTGAATTGAATAAATGAATTTATTTAATACAAATAATTCGTTATTTAATCCTAATACACTATTTTTTCGAGACAACACTGTAAACTTGATGGTATCATTTTGGAATGCAACGTTTAGATTCGATATAAGGTATCAAATTGATCGAAATATTTGGATCATTTTCAAGAAATGATCCAGAATATGGGATCATTTTTTGATACCTGAATTGGTATCAAAGTATAACTGTCATGGCTGGCATGCTCTTATTGACAAGTTCATTAATTAATTTATTCACTACACTGAATATTTAGATATTAAAAATACTTTTATTATGAATTTTAAGAAAGAGAGAAGCGAAAACTTATAAATTGCGAGCAATTAAATAAGAAAAAATTTATTTCGAAATAAAATGAAATACACTAACCTTTATTTATATTTATCACATAAGATTTAAGTTAAGTTCACAATCACAACACTTGAAAATTTTTAATTATTTTTATGGTTCAAATAATTATCAATAATTTATTTATTATAAATGAACAAAATTTAAGTAATGCACGCTTGATAAATATTTCTAATGCGTTGTCAATTAATGCAATTAATAATTTCCAATTACATAATATTATAATCGACATATATGACATTTGTAAACAAACAGGGTTGGGAAACAAGAGCTCAAAATATGTTCGTCCAAAGCAGAGTTGGGTAGGATTGAAATTATGTCCAACAATAATTTTCAGAATGTGTATGCATTTTCCAAATTCTCGCTATGAGCGCTCAGTTATCACGAAAAGGTTCTCAACCTGTTTATAAAAGTATAGTTTAGTTTCACTGATTGAAACATTAAATTTAAATTATAATTAAACATTTAATTTTAACATTAAACATTAAATTTCATTAGTTAAAACATTGCAATTAAGAGGTGAACGTGAAACAGACTATAGTTTTTCATGTTTTTGATCAAGACAACGTTCGATACTCTTATCAGAATTTCTAATTAATAGAATTATCATTTGTCTGAACAAAGATCGCAACATTTGAATTTTTTTCATTATTTTTACAGTTCAAATTATTTTTAACAAAACTATTAAAACATAATTAATTATTCAGATTTTCCCTATTTCAAAATTACATGTGCGTTTTCCATAAACGTGAAACAGAATCCTACCCAACTCTGCTTTGGACGAAAATATTTTGGGCTCTTGTTTCCCAACCCTGTTTGTTTACAAATGTCATATATGTCGATTATAATATTGTGTAATAGGAAATTATTAATTGCATTAATTGACAACGCATTAGAAATATTTATCAAGCGTGCATTACTTAAATTTTGTTCATTTATAATAAATAAATTATTGATAATTATTTGAACCATAAAAATAATTAAAAATTTTCAAGTGTTGTGATTGTGAACTTAACTTAAATCTTATGTGATAAACATAAATAAAGGTTAGTGTATTTCATTTTATTTCGAAATAAATTTTTTCTTATTTAATTGCTCGCAATTTATAAGTTTTCGCTTCTCTCTTTCTTAAAATTTATAATAAAAGTATTTTAAATATCTTAATATTCAGTGCAGTGAATAAATTAATTAATAAACTTGTCAATAAGAGCATGCCAGCCATGACAGTTATACTATATAAATATCACTGAAAATATTATTAATGTACTGAATTTTTAGTTACGTATATTACTAAAATTTTATTCAACAACAATCATCAGAATTACGAAACTGTAACAAAATTTTCGTACACGCAACTGAATTTTTATGTTAATTAATACGTACATCGAAAAATTCCGAAATGATAACAAATTTTTAGTAACACGTAACAGCATAAAACTTCAGTTGCTATTTACAAAAAATTCCGACAGAAATTTCGAACAGTGTAAAGTTGTTAAAAATTCATATTTCCAAAAGTTCAAATTTCTAAAAAGGAGCGCATGATTATCCCATAATAATCATTAGTAAAAATTTTCATTTTAAGGAATTTTATTAGATATAATTATATTTTTTGATAAATTTTTATTTTTATAATTAACAAATTTTTACTTAACAGAATTCTTATGTATATCGAATTTTTTTTTTGTGCATAATTCTTAAAACGCCGAATTTTTATTTGTCCGAAATTGCAAATAGTCGAATAAACAATCGACAGAAAGATTTTGGCGCGATCATTAAATTCCACCAATCACGATTTTCATGATAACTTTTGATTAGTGAAATTTAAAAATTGTGCCAAAATCTTTATGTCGATTATTTGTTCGGCCATTTGCAATTTCGGACAAATAGAAATTCGACGCCTTAAGAATTCTACCAAATAAAAATTCATCTGCCTAACAATTCTGTTAATTAAAAATCCTTTAAAAAAGAAATTTTGACAAATATTAATTCGAAAAATGAAAATTCGTCTAAAAAATAATTATTGTTATTGTTATAGAATTGTTAAAAGGTAGAAATCCTAAAAGTTTAATTTTCCAAAGTTCGAGTTTTCCAAAAGTTTCAGATTTGTTAAAAACTAGAATTACCAAAAGTTCAAATTTCCAAAATTCCAATTTCCAAAAGTAAAAAATTGTTAAAATTTTTAATTTTCAAAATTTGACTTTCCAAAAATTATAATTGTCAATATTAACGATAAGAAAATTATAAAAAAATTTAATTGATAAAACTGCTTAGTGTCATTTGGGGTAAATGGGGACAAGAGGTGTTGAAGCTTAATTTACAGTTTTAAAATGAAGTTCAACGTCAATATTTTAACCTCAGATCACCTGCAAGAGGTTTTGAGTATTGCCAAGTTTTTATTTTGACAATTGGCAGCAAGATAAAAAAAGTTATCGCTCAATGCAGAAAAACTTGAAAATCAAAGTCAAACTGTTTCAGTATTTTATCTCGCATTTCAAAGAAAACAGACTTAAAAATCATACTGAAATTTTTTCTTATTCGTTATGACTTCCATAACAGAAATTCACTTGAATTTTTTATTTTTGTTAATTTGGTTAATAATAACAAGCTGTCCCCATTTACCCTGAGTTTTCAAATTTTTGGGGTAAATGGGGATAGCTTGTCATTATTAACCAAATTAACAAAAATTAAAAATTCAACTGAATTTATGTTATGGGAGTCATAAGGAATAAGAAAAAAATTTGGTATTATTTTTAAGTCTGTTTTTTTCAAATGCGAGACAAAAAAATAAAAAAATTTCAATTAGTTCAACTATTATATATCTACTACAAATTTTTTTCAAGTTTTTGCATCCCTTAATACAGTAATATACTTAAGGAAACTTTTTTTATAAAGTTTCTTAGAAACTATGCTGTGTCCCCATTAACCCCAAATTTTATGAAATTTTCTAAATTTTGGGGTAAATGGGGACAGTCAGTTTCATGCGTTTAAAGCTCATCTAAATTTTTTTCTGCTGCATAAAATTAATCCTGGGAATGTAAATAACAACTTAAAAAAACTAAACCCGCAAATATTACCTTTTAAAGGAAGAAACTTACGTAATTTGTTAAAAATAGCGATTTTGTCCCCATTTACCCCAACTGACTCTATTTTTGTATGAATATATGCGATTTTAATTATGATTTTACAAAAACAAAGTTAAAATTATTACTTTTAATTATTATTTATCAAAATGTCATCCCTTTTTTTGTTTGTATGTTATTTGTGATATTTATATAAATGTATTGATATTAAAAATTTGCTCATAATATTTTGATAATGTAAAATAAATTTTTTACTGTACATTTATTTACAAAAATTTCATATTGTTTTAGAAGAAAATCGTGAATTAAGTGATCACACTGATGAGGAACTTAAAAGACAAAGAGGTACTTACAATGGAGATCAACTTTATTCTAACGTAAGTAATTTTTTTCAATTTATAAATTAACATTTTATTTAAAATTTATATACATACATATATATATATAAAAACTAGAATTCACATTTACTAAAAATATATATTTCAAAAATTTCTTATTTTTAAAAAGGAAGCATTATTTTAACAATAATTTTACATTTTCTATAAATTTTGATTATTGAATTACCAAGTCATTAATTATATATTTTTCAAAAACCCTAAAAAATATATAAAAAATGCTTGTAGATATTAAATTAAACTACTTTTTTTAAAACTTACAATGAATGTAAAAATGCAAGCGAAATAAAACACTCCGAGAAATTCTTTTGATTGAAAATATCCAGGATGTAAAGAAATTGTTTTATTTTGTAAAGGGTCTAGTAAAGTTAAGAGCTTTCTGTTTATAGAGATACAACCCCATGTAAAAAGATAATTTCTATCTATGTTACATTATTATAATAAATAAATAAATAAATTATAAATTTCTTTAAAACTTCAATAAAAAGGTTATTGGGACAGCTGATTACGAATTTGATATTAGATTTCCAAAATTCAAATTGACGGATCCAAAATGTCGAACTGAATTATTAAAAAATTTATTGATTTTTATGGAACTTTTAGGGTTTTTTTTTGGGTCTTTGATTATACGAATTTGACTTCAGATTTACAAAATTGCAAAATGTCATTCAAAATAGCAGAGAGATTTATAAAAAAAGATGTTTTGATTTTTATAAACTTTGTATTTAGGGGTTTCTTGGGTCGATGATCACGAATTTAACGTTATATTTATAAAATTTTAAATGACGTATTCAATATTCAGAAAAAAGATATTTGTCAAAAATATATTGTAAAGTTTTTGAGAAAATTATAAACTAATATTCCCTTATTATTATGTGATGTCAAATTTTCACTATTTTCAATTTTATAACGTTGCGTCAAATTCATCGCAGCGACCCGAAAAACTTCTAGATACTAAATTATACCAAATTTCGTAAAAATCAATAGATTTTTTAATAATTCGATTCACCATTTTAAATTTTGGAAATCCGACCTCAGATTTGTAATCAGCGAGACCCCAAAAACCTTTATATTTAATTTTTTGGGGAGAAAAGTTTGATTTTTATGGGTTTTTAACCAATATGTATGGGGGGGGGGTGTTGTTTTAACCCTTAAATCTTCTTCATTGCCTATGTAAAAAATATGTATATATAAATTATTTTTTAGAGTTCTGAAAGTTTTCCAAGTTTCATTTTTCAATTTGTCAAGAATTAAAGTTCCTTTTTTAAAATTAAAAATTGCTTGATTTTTTATCATAATATACTTTGACGAAGTTTTTAGTAAAAAAATCGAACTTTAATTAAGAATTGTTAAAATTTCATCACTGCGGACAAATGCTCTGGGTTAATATTTGTTAAGATTGTCTAACAATATAGTTTTTTTGCATAGGCAATTTTTAATATTTCACTGAAAATAATTACGAAACGACGGATAAGTGAAAAGGAAAATTTGTTCAATATTTAGGAAACTTCTTGTTTTGTATTTAGTAATACAATATTGTATCAATATAATGTATTCATAAAATTAATAATTATTTTTTCAAGTACCTCAATTTTTTTAACAAATAACATCGTAAAGAATTTTGAATGAATAACCAAAGTATTTTTCGTTAACAAATTTAAATTTCTGTAACAATCTTTAAATATTACTCGTGTGATTGGTAACTACTCAATTATATACGCACTACTGTTAGAAATTGAACTTTAACTTTAAACTAAAAAGATTGAAATAATATATTTTCAATCTCGAAAAGTGTGAATGTTTACATATCATTGGTTGGACAAAATACTGTAATTGAAATAAAAACATTTGCACTTTTCGAGATTGAAACTATATAAATTCAATCTTTCTAGTGTAAAGTTGAAGCTCGATTTTTAAGTGTATAGTAATTTTTACAATGTTATTATTTAAAAAAAAAATTTTATATGTACCAAAGGTCACCAAGCTATTTGGTAGAAATTGCGAAGCACTTGAAAAAATGATTATTAATTTTATGAATACCTAATATTTCAACACGTATATATATATGTAGTAGTTTTCTATTGCTAATTACGACTTTATTGAGACTAAATGTGATTGCAGCTGTGGTCAAGTAAATGGAGCATTAAGGATGAGCATAAGCTGCTGAATGAACTTGGAGGTAGCGGTGCTACCGGAAACGGTGGTGGCTCAGGAGGTAGTGGTGGAAGTAGCGGAGGAGGCAGCGGATACTATGAACATGGGGGATTCCCCGGGAATGCGATTGCAACCTCCGCAGAACTGTACGACTCCCTGGGCACCATTAGTACTATGACGCAAGCGCAGACGCCCCACCTCTACACCCCGCCCATAGGGGGCACTATAGGTGAGCATCTCCTTCCTATTCCCTCTTTTTTTTTCTCTCTCTCTCTCTCCCTTTGAACTCCCCTTTTACTCTTTTCCTCCCTGGTACTGATTCCAACAAACGTAGTATATGTATATTTGCCTCTATTAAAAATCCTTTCTTTTTCTATATATATGTGCGTTTATTATTGTGGCTTAATATATACATAGCTTTGCATATACACTCACGTTAGTGCTAATGCTTAAATAACGCATGAGTAATGGCGAAAGATAAAATGGTGGAAATTGTTTTCTTCAATACATATATATATATATATGTTTTCTTTACATGTAGCATTTTTAGATTTAAAATTTCTTTATGGTAAATATTGACAATTTCCAAATCGTATTTGGATAAATCTTAGCCTATATTTTATCCAATATTCCCCCTAAAAAAATGCTATAGTGGTAATTGGCGGTTTAATTTTGTAAACATTTTTTTTAAGTTATGTATTTTGTAATTTAAATTGTTGTGTAATCAACGACGGAACGTATATGAGTTCATTTTATTTATTGTAGAAGCATTCTTTAAAGATTGATAAAGTTTTGTACTTTATTATATTTATCAAAATTTAATTTCTAGAAATAAATGTAATAAAAATAAAATTTATGTTCGGAGAGTTAGAGTATAACTGATTTTAATATTAAATAGTTCGAAGATATTTTTCAAAATCCGAATTGCTGATGCGTCTTAATTCTGGATTTTTTACATAACCCACGTGGAAAGATTTTCGGAAAATGTCCGGAAATTTTCCAGAAATCCAGAAGTAATCCAAAATTTTAACAAGGGTTTTTGTTGGCTTTCAATGATTCAAATTTTGTTATCCTTAATCTTAATTTTCCCAAAATTGACCAGGATGATAACATGTTATAATTTCAACTATATTTAAACATTTTCTGAAGTTCTATTTCTGCCAATTCTTCCATGAAGATATTGGATAATTCTAAAATCTCTATATTTTCATGAAGTTCTTCGCCCTACCGAACTTAAATCTAAACGAATCATATAGAACTATAATAATTAAAATTGAAAAGAGTTTTTTGTTTTGGAATTTCTAAATAAATATTTTTACATAACGTTCCGTCTTGATAAGCAACTAGAAATAAAACTTACATAAAGTAACAAAAAAAATGGGGATCCCTTATGGCAGGTGGTACTTTGACGCCGCTTACACCTCTGACGATGCAAGAATTAAAACTGAGTCAAACATTGGATGGTGCTAACATGTCTCCATATCATACATCTGGTGAGTTTGCATCCTTAATAGTCTTAGAAATTGTCTAATATCAAAAACGAAGCTACTGCAGCTTTCACTGTCAATATTCAAATCAATAATATATATACATACTTATATAATATAACCACTAATATTTCATGTTACTGACATACTTAATCCCTTTTCTCTCCCAAATTAATAATTTTCTAATATTCTAATATTTTATAAATATTTATTTTCTTATAAAAATATTTTTAAAACTTTTACAAGATATATTAAGGTAATAATTTTTTTTTTAAATTCACGTACAGGGAAAGTTCAATCAATGTTGTGGTATTATGTTTTATATGTACAAAAAATCGTCTTTCTGAAAAAATTAAAACTTAAATGATTAATAAAGATCTAATTTAATTACTTCAGTAATTTAAAATATGAAGTCATTTAAAAATATGAAATATATCCAATAGGGAGAAGACGCAGAAAAATGATCTTTGTTTAAAACTTTATGTCTAACAGTTTTTAAGATTGATGACTATGTTAATTAATTAGTTAATTAAATGAATTAAATCATAATTAGATATCAGAATTAGTTAATTTTTTAAAATTTTCGCTTTCGTATTGTTTCCTACTTTGAATTTTGAAATTGTTACACATTAACTTCAAAAAAAAGTTATCAATTTAGCAAACCCGAAAAACTCACAAATTACTAATTTTCACTAGATTTGATAACATTATGAATTTTTGAAAACTAAAATAAATGTACATCAAAATTTCACAACTTTTATTGATTATAAAGCCAATTACTCCAATAGTTTACTTTTTTATATCGTAATTTTCCTGATTTACCGATAGTCAGTAAAATAGATTTCTATGTCGGTAATTTTGATGTTATAATTTTCTTGTTTTACCGACAGTCTATAAAGTAGATTTCTATGTCGGTAATTTTTATATCATAATTTTCCTGTTTTTACGACAGTCGATAATGTAGATTTCTATGACGGTAATTTCTTAAACAGAAAAAAGATATCTATGAAGTTATTAACTTACAGAAAACTTTTTGATATAAAAGCAAATTATTCATAAAATCAAAATTATGAGTAACACAATTAAATTCTTAAGAATTCTTAACAGTTTGACGAACTTTGAACAAGATTTTAAAGAAATTTTAAGTGTGAAATATAGTGCGAACTTAATTTGATGTCTTTTTTAAAAATAATTTGATAAATTAAGAGAGAATGATGTTTGAGTGAACAGTCCTTGAATCCAGTTGATGTACACTGAAGAAATAAAGAATTATTGAAATTCCGACGGAATCTCCAGGACGTGTTCGACGAAAATCCAATGAAATTCTACAGAAAACAATTCTAACGGAATTTTTAGCAAGACTTTTATTTGAGACAAAATTTCCACAATTTTTCTATCTGATTTTGGATTAAATTAATTTAAAGATTAATTACAGATATCTGTAATAATTATTATAAAAAAAGAATTTTATTATCTTAAGGGAATCCATATCAATTTTAGGCAGAATATCGAAAATTTACGTCGAGTTTTCACTCGACACTGAAACGGAATTCTGATGGAATCTCCATGGAAGCTTAAAATTTACGCCTCAACGAAGTTTCCACATGAACGTAATAAGAATCTTTAACGATTCTTGTGAAAGGTTTCCATGATATTTCAGTGAAAGCTTACCTCAATATTTCAAGGAAGCTTCCGTTAAGGCAGGCATTTTAATCATCCTAGAAATTTTCATTTGAGTATTACCAACTCTGTAAAAAATGTTGGATAGCATGATCCGAGAAGATTGGACCTCGGTAGGATGAATCTGTTATTTTGATTTTAACAGATTATGGAATGTTTGGTCGAATCTGTTTTCAATAGAAGGTCTAATTCTTTCGATTGAAAATAGCGTATAAATTAAGATATAAAATTTTAATTGTAATAAAAGTAATTGATTTAAGAAATATATATGAAATTATAATAAAAGTGATTAAGTTTAACGCTTAACAAAAGCGTTAAGAAATAATAATGATTACTGATAAAAAAAAATTAGTTTACACTGCAAATTTGTGACGAGTGAATACAGTAATTCATATCGGATAAGTCCTGTCGCCGTCAGATGGCAGAAGCATGCAGGGAGCATAATGACCCATATCTCTATCTATATTAGTATTAAAACGAACATAACCTCAAAATTTAAGGTTCTAGGCCTCAGCGTCATAATTCTTCTGAACTACCGCACCCTGTTCTAGGGGAAATTTAATAACTTTATTGATAAAAGTAGAAGTTACTAATAAATTTCCACTAGAATAGGGTGAGGTAGTTGACGAGAATTGCAATGGTAAGTGGGGATTTTAGCGAGTGGGGACAATAGAATCCAACTTGATGTACCTTAATTTTCAATTTTCTCAGGAGAGGCACTATACGTACGCATTATTAAAAAAAACTTAGATCTGTTGAACACAGAAGTAGGATTATTTTGAATGCATGGCGTTACGTATTCTTATACTACTTTGTGGTCTTCAGGATTCAAGGTCATAGATCAAACATAACCTCAAATCCATCGGATTCAAGACTATGTCCACCAAACATATTCTTAAATTTCCTTAACCAAGAAACGAACATAACCTAAAATTTTACGTAAAATTTTAATAATTTTAATATTTGCAAGCTTTTAAAAAATTAATCCTGAAAATGAAAAATAATAGGGGTTAATAGTCCAATCTGTTAAAATCAAAACAACAGATTCATCCTACCGAGGTCCAATGTGTTTTCTCCGATCATGCTGTCCAATATTTTTTATAGGGAACTTACCTGAGAAGCTTCCAGAAATATATCGTGCTTCGTAGATGTGAGTTCATATGACTCTTAAAAATTTGAACTAAAACCTGAAAAATAAGTACAAGAAATTGCAAGAATACTCACCTAACTTGCCACTGCAGCTTCCCCACACATCACCTAAACTTGCAACAATATTGGCAACATTTCCTCAATATTCTATAATAATGCAGCAATATTGCAGAAATCACAGAAATATTTAGACAATGTTGGCGATATTACTGCAATTTTAGGTGCTGTGGGGGTTTCAACTTTCTTTTGGAATATCAAGAAGTTTCCACTGGAACATGAAGGGAACCTTCTGGAATATCTTCTTCTTCTACCTTCTGGAAGTTTTCAATGTAATATTAAAGAAACATTCTACTGGTATATTAAGGGAAGATTCCATAAATATTCCTTGAAACATTCCATAAATATATTCGTTTAGCGTTTAAATTGTTTAACATGCTTAACTACTTTTTCACATTAGTATAAATAAATTTCGTTTATTTAGGAAATTTTCCCTTGATATTCCATTGGAAAGTTCCCATGATGATCCGGTGGAAGATGCCTTATTAGACGAATATTTGAAAATTACTGAAAGCTTTTATGATATTCCAAAAGAAGGTTTGGAACCAAACCTTCTGTGGAAGGTTAGGGAAATGTTTTTATCTTCTGTTCCCTCTTCATCCTAAATGATGATTAGTGATTCTGAAAGATTCAAAATTTACCCACCATCCAACCAACAACAGTCACAGATTTAATTTTGCAACGTAGGCAGATTGTGTGAGTTTGTTTGAGAATTGACGAAATTACTAGATTACCACCGAACCCTATCTCTAATAATCGCGAGTGATATAACACAAATTATACTCGCCACAAATTGAATTTCTAATTCATAGTTTAAAAAAATTCTTAATTTTTAAGCACTATTTACCAATTGCAATGACGTTGTACATGCCTTAGAATAAATCTTTATATTAATTTTGCATTGTTTAAAATTTAATTTTAAATGTAAATGCTGTTTTTAAGCTTTTGCCTGATTTGAATGTTATATTGTATTGTGCATGATCATAGCAGAGAGCAGTACCGTTGCAGTATCGTATGTTGGTGTAGGAGCCGGAGGGGGCGAGCAAAGTCCACCGCTTTCGTTGCATAACGAGACTAGCTCAGCCCCTACGGCTATCAACACAACTACTGGAGATCCAGGACTGACAGTATTACAGCCACCAGTATCTCAACCTCAGGTATCATCCGCAATTCCACCTTACACGACAATGCTTCCTAGTTTTGGACACTATGCAACTGGTAAGTAATCAAGAGGTTTAATTTGACCATCCGGATCAAATAACACGATCTCAGTGTCATTTTAACTTCTCAAGGGGATTTGTACTCAGATCGAGTTATTTGAATCGGAATTTTTAATTTTTTTTTACTTCTATGTATATGTTAGAAACGCATGGGTTTAATTTTCTGCAATGTATGCGCAAATTTATTAAAAATTTGATATAAATGTTTTGTATTTAAATATAAGTATCTATGCTAGATACTTTAAAATTTTAATAAATTGTAATTCTACTTATGTTATTTAATAAAAATTAAAGTTTTTTTAATGTCAGGTTTTTGTCATCCGGACATAATCCGAAATTTTTCCGGTTTTAGTAACTGACCTAGAATAAATCAGGTCTAATCTGAAGTAAGTCAAAAATGTAACTAATGAATACAGATTCTGGATTTAGTAATTAATTTCTGATTTAACAGAAGTAATTTTGTATTTATTAACTGTATTGTAACGGGAATCTTTATTTTGCGACTCTCCAACAAAATTTTGATTTATTTAGATCTTTAGGGGACGTTTAATTTTTATTACGTCCCTGGAGTGTTGCCTTGGGCGCATGCGTCTCGATGAAGAATTTTAGAAGAAGCACGCGGTGTCAACTGGGCGCCTTTCTTGGACCGTACTTGTTTAGGTATACAGTGTGACCACATGGCAAATGGAATTTTATATTGTATGAAAATAAGAGAATAGAACAAATATTAAATTATATAAATCAGGATTAAGAAAACAAAAATTATTACATATTGAAATTAAAGACGTCGATTATAACGGTAGATATTAATTTAAATAATTAATTGCATCTCCATGCTATCAATATTTTCTAACTAATTTCTACACAAAGGGGGGAACCTTCATCGAACATTCCGGGGCGATGCTTACCACGTTTTTGTGAGACTAGACGACAAATAATATTATACTTACTATTGACTTCTGCTGGAAAATCAGGTGTAGAGATGAAGATCAGACAAACAATAATAAATTAAACAATAATTCAAAAATCACACTTGTCTTCATTAATTAATAATGCTAGAAACAACTTATTACAGTTAACAATTTCAATAATGATTAATGAGTGATCGCGGACGATATTATATGCGGTGTCGCCTTGCGAACATCGATTAACGAACTGACGTAGATCCTCTTCCTGTTCGTGGGGGGTCGACTCGCTTCGGTCGGGATCGGTACCCGGGCCAATCAAAAGAAGGAATATTAACCCTACCTTAATAGTTATTAAATTCGACCGAGGAGAAATGGCAAATAATAAAGAATACAATTTTGACGATTTACTTCGTCACACGATAAACAAAAGGGGAGAGTCAGTACGGTTGGGCCACGTTTTGACTTGTGGCCATAACTTCCGTTCTAAACCGAATTTAGGATTTTCTCACGTATGGTTGAAAAGATCTTATCAAGTGCAACATTTTCTCTGAACAACAGAAAATGATTGGACCAAAAGTGTAAACGTTATAGGCATTTCAAAAAATAAATTTTGTCGTTACGGTCCGCCCAAGGCTTTACGGTTGGGCTACCGTACAAAATCAATGTTATATGAAAGAAAATGATTCAAAATGGCCCGCCACAGAAGAAACATAGTATTATTTTTATCCCTAAATCTGTATAATATTTGCCTGCAACAAATTTTACCCTAATTGACGGCGCCACCGTCTATGTGAACTAAACATTTGTTAAAATAGTGTTTTTGGCGCAATAAAGTTTATGCCAAAAAATCTCACAAAAAAAGGACATTTCAAAAAAATCTCATGTAAATTAATAAACGCCCCAAAACGTTTTCAGAACACGAAACGTCTATAATGCGTTATTGCAGTAGACTCGAAATAGAACGTAACGAATCGTTATAGGAACGTTTCTAAAACGTAAATCTTTTTATCCCACTGGTAAATGACGTGTTTGTCACATCGATACGTCGAAAAATGAATTTATAATGTGAGGACGTATCATAATTGCACAATTTTAAGTGGCCCAACCATCAATATCACGTCGTTTTACTTTTTTATTACACAGACAAAAAATGCATTATACAAACATCAAATAAGGCTCCACATTTTCAAAGAACACTCAAACCAACAAACTTAGTCAACTTACTTTATTGTTTGTATCTTCTTCTTTTGTTTAATTCATTTTTCGGACACCACAAACAAGTTTTCCTTTTGATCTTTAGCACATTTTACAAAAAACGTCTGTACGAATTGCGCATTTCACTGAGACTTACTAAAAGTGACGTGAAAAGTTAATTACCATCGCTAGTAAGTATTTGCATGCAAAGGTAGATGGCGCTAATGTGAAAGGGCTTTAAACGCAGTACTGGTCCAACCGTAAAGGTGGCCCGACCGTAATGACTCTCCCCTACTATAAGTAAATTCTTTAATAAAAACATTAAATAGACGCGCATTGTTCTGGGTTCGCCCAATTTCATCCCACCTTTGAGATTAAAATTTCTATTAAATAAATATTTTTATTATAATAAATAAATACTGTCGATCTTCTGTTAACTGGCTCCTAACAAACATTTTATAAATTTAAATTCTTGAATCTGGGAGTCGATTATGTAATTTGATTTGACTTTGACGTCAAAGTCAAATTTATTTTTTGATTGCAATACGTCAAATTACTATCAAAAAATAAATTTGAATGCGACGTTAAATTGAAATAAAAAATTAAATTTTTATTTAAAGTCTAAGTTAAATAAAACAATAAATTTGTTGAATTAAATTTGACATTGACGTTAAAATGAATTTGATTTTGACGTCAAATCAAATTACATAATCGACACCCTAGCTGCATGTGGTGTAGAGTAAATTATATAAAATTTTGATAATAAAAACTCCTGTTTCAATATGATCCATTTAATTTTGGATTAGACTGGATTAATTCCGGATTTACTTGTCACACAAATAATACTACTTTTGGATAATAGAAACCTTACTCTAAACCAGACTGTTTCGAATTAATACAACGTTCAGGAATGTTAACCCAAGTATAGTAGTAACTATTGGTCAGACTGGATTTTTTACAAAGATTTCAGATTATTATAAACTCCTGTCGGATTCAGTTTTTGATAGTATTTAATTGTTGCATACTGTTTACGGATAGTTTACATACAAATTCTGGATTATTTTATACTCATTTTTGAATTTTTTAACTAACTAAAATCAAATTGTTGCGTGGACTAATTGCGGATTTAATTCATGTTAATTTTGTACTAATCTCGGATTTATCATCCGGATTCATTGCTGACTAATTCGTATCATTTTTTGATTGTTTTCGCACAATTTCCGAACTAATCCGGATTGAACAGTTTGTATTTAATATGAAATAACTTCGAAATTTTAACCGGGAACTATGTTTAGATTGAAAAAAGTAGAATTACAATTTATTAAAGTTTATGAATATCCGTCAGGGGTTTGCCATTATTCTTTGTCTGGAAATGGGTGACGTAATTTCTAATATCCCGACAATAATATAAAAAAATTCCTCATTATACTCTAAAGATTTTGATTAACAATTTTATACACCTTAGGTAACTGTTACTGTAGGGAAATAGTGAAAAAGCTTTTCATTTAGCAGTAAAAACTTAAGGAAGTGGATCGTTTTCTTTTGGAGAACATCGTAATTACAAATTATCAGTTTAGTTGTCAAGATTCTTTAGGGTTCAGAAGGGTTCCTGGAGATTCCGACAAAGTTTCCGTTGAATTCTTATTGGAATTCCGATTTCATCGGAAATTTTATGTCAATTATCAGAATTTCTAAAAGCTTTTCCAGGAAATCTTTCCAATTGAAAAAGATGTCTATGTTAAAAGATTAAATATCTTTTCGCTAATAAATAGTTTAATAGTAAACGTAAATTCTAATTGCTATTTTCATGTATGTTCAGGTACTGGTGACTACGCGTATAGTGCGGCATATTCTCAGTATTCAGCTGCTCCTTATAGTAGTTATGGTTATGGAACTGCGACAAGCGGGTTACTCAGTAAGTAAACAGTGAGTATTACTACCCATTAGATCAGGGAACGATTGATTGTAATATTATAAGAGATGTTGGATACAATAAGGGATTTTGATTTTTTTGTTCAAATTCAGCTTTACTTACGCTCTATTCCTGCGTTTAAATATTTTACAACACCTTCGAATTCCCACATTGTAGCAACGTCTCGCAAAAGTATTTTTCTATTAAACTGTTCTTTTATTGAATCATGTATATTTAACTATAACAAAATGTTTAACGGGGTAGTCATAAATTATTATATTGATTAGAACACTGCAAAAAGAAGTATCTTATTTTAAGATGTTTTGGTAGCATTTTTAATAAATTTAGATGTTTAAAATGTCTTAAAAACGCTACTAAAACATCTTAAAATAAGATACTTCTTTTTGCAGTGATCATCTATTTTGAAATAAGGATCGTAAGTGGACTACCTCCTTAAATACTTTAATTTCTATCCGCATAGCACAAAGTATGACAAGAATATTTCCCTAACCTTCCTCTGTAATATCATGGAAAGCTTCTAATAAAATTCAAATTTCTGGAACCTCTTACTGAAATATGAAGAAATTACGAAATATTAAGCAAATAAAGCTTTCGAAGTGATATTCAGGAAATTTTTTCTTGCTGGAAGATTTTATCGATATTTCAGTAAAAGGTTCCCTTGTTGTTTTCAGTTGAAAATTTTCAGATGATTTCAGTTGAAGATTAGAGGAATGTTTCTGCAATGTCTTGTGTTATGATTTTAATTTTAATAAATAAAACTTTAATCGCGGCTATGACTCACGGAGGAAGTACAAAAGGAGCGAAATCACCAGCCATGTAGATTTTGTTCAAGCGACCACAAGTTATCATTTAATTGTGAGGAAGTTGATGGCACACTGTTATATTCGACAACGCAACATAATTAGTAAATTTTAATTTATTTTTCTCAAGAATCTTTCAAATTGGTTTGTTTTAAAAAGGGGTAAATTTAAAAGGATTGAAATGATAATAATGCACTAAAATCTTTTCGGAAGGTATATAAAAAAAATAATGAGCAAATTTTTAAGGAATGGAGGAACGAAAATCGTACTACGTCCTTCGGAATTAGAAGTATAACAAGTAAAAGTAATTCAGATAAGAGAAGAAAAGTAATTAATATACAATAAAATTACTTACTTTTTCTATTTATGTATAACTGATGAATATTGTTGAAAACTCGTTTTAAATCGGAACCTTGGATGTTTGATATAAAGAATAGTATCTTGAACTGGAACTTGAAGATTAAATTTGGAAGAATTTAAATATTTTGAAAATGAACCAACTAGTCACTGGAGAAATAATTAGAAATTGAATTAGAAGAATCTTGAATTTGAAAATAGTAGAGAGAACTGATTTTAGAGAGAAGATTTACTGACTGAATGATTACAGACTTGAAGTGAACTGAATTGAAAGACTACTGACTTTTTCATTAACGTCATTAGTTTTTATATTGCTATCCTTTCTTAAATTTTTTAGTCGGTTGAAAATTTGGGGATGAATATTTTTAGAGCGGGAAATTAAAAAAAATCAATGATTGGATCTATGAAAAACAATAATAGAAATTCTTATCAAAAGAAAGATGTCATTGGGTCCTTTAGACCCAGCCTTTGCAAGGGATGGCTTTGCGTGGTAGTATCTTAAGATTAGGGTATCATGAAAGAGTGGGGATCTAAAAGTTGTGGAGGATGCACTCAAAGTTTTGTGTTGATATCACAGTTATATATATATTTTTCTAAACTTTTATTGCTTACAACTGTTTTAGTTTATATGAATTTGAAAATCTCAAAGTGCATCTTACAAGTGTAGACCATTTAAAGTTTTAGATTTCATTATCGGTTCTAAAAGGAAGAAATATTAGGTGTGCAACTAAGTTCTCGCTGTTTTTTTTTAAATGAAATTTCAACTATATTTACAGAGAAGGTTACAAATAAATCATTCAAAGTATTGTCCATCGGCAGTTACGATTTTCTCCCATCTTTCTGGCACAGCTCGAATACCGCGTCGGAAAAACTCTTCGTCTTTTCAGGCTATCCACGAATCAAGCCATTTTTCTATGTCTTCGCATGAGTGAAATTGCTGAGCAGCCAGACCATGTGCCATGGAACGAAACAGGTGATAATCGGAAGGCACAATATCTGGGGAATACGGCGGGTGTGGTAGGACTTCCCATTTAAGCGTTCCCAAGTAGGTCTTGACACATTTGGCAACGTGAGGCCTAGCGTTGTCATGCTGTAGAATCGTAAGGGACCCAAGTCCCTTGTTTTTGAATCATTCCTAACGCATGCAATCGCTTGGAAATGGCTTGACGAGTAACATTTAATGCTACAGCAAGCTCTTCTTGCGTTTGGCACGAATCCTCGTCAAGTAATGCTTCCAATTCAGCATCTTCGAAGGTTTTTGGTCTTCCTTCACGAGGACGGTCCTCAACATCGAAATCACCGTCTTTAAAGCAGCGGAACCAATCACGGCATGTTGTTTCACTTAGAGCAGCATCTCCATAAACTTTTTTGAGCTCTTGGTATGCTTCAGCTGCCGTTTTCTTCGAATGAAAAAAGAAGATTAACACTTCCCGCAAATGACGATTATTTGGCACAAAATCAGACATTTTCGCACAACCAAAAGTATATAACGCCAAAACAAAATCACTAATATATCACCACAGTTTCTTTAGCATATGTCTAAGGTTTATTTATGGCGTTTTGGATATATCAAAATCGATCAACACTCACTGCTAACGTTATCTATTGACAAACAGCGGGAACTTAGTTGTACACCTAATAAATAATTTGTAAAAAAGAAACATAGTTTTGAAAAATACTGATGTTTGTTTTCTAAGAAGCGATAATAAACTCGAAAAAAATAAAATACAAAGAAATAGAAAAATTATAAAGAAATAACTCTGGACGTTACAGCACAGCACAAATTAATTTGAGATCAATTTGAGATACAAGATATTTTTATTATAACAATCAATGTAATAAGAAATATAATAATCGCGTGTTAATATCAAAATAGTGCGAACCCGATGAGTACATAATGCTCTCAGGGGTGCTACTCTTGAACTGATTTTTGTGCACCGAACTTTGAATCGAATGGTTTAGACCAATCGTTGCAGAAATTTGACAAGCACTCACCAATCAGAAGTGTCGCAAAGTTTCGATGATATCGCATGGTGTTCAAGAATAAAGGACCAGAAATTTCGTTATTAGCGGCGAGGCGTGCGTTTGTCGTGTGACAAACGCACTACGTGACTTACGCGCCAATTTGAATTTAGCGAACTAACGAAAGTCTGCGAAATTCAATTTGAATATTGATATTAATTAATAAAATATATTAATTTGAAATTGAAAACTTATTTTATTTATATATATGCTTTTTATTTTCAGATTCATCATATTATTACTGCAGCGGGGATACGCTGGCGTCTTCCCACAATAATTCACAGCAGGGTGGATGTAACAATAATGCAGGATCAGAGAACAATACGGATGCAGCTAGTCGTTCACCCCTTGCTGCAACAAGAGCTAGTAGTGGCGCAAGTGCAGCGTCACCTACTGGAAGCGCTTGCACGAAGCCCGATCATAGTACTACTTCAACCGATCTATATTTAGCTTAATTGAAAGGGAAGTTGTTTATAGGTTAGAAAAACTCCTTAGGTGCATTGCTAGTAAAACCCAACAAACTTACCAAAAAAAACATTTTTTGAAAATAATTAGCAGGCGCCATATCATACAAATTTATTTTTAAAAAAAAATTCGTATATTGTTTTGTCGTGTCAGAGACAGTGATAAATGCTCATGCGTTTTGATATAGAAGTCTCACTACACGAAAAACTAGCGCTCTTCCTGTATTGCTTCTACAATCAAGTGCAACAAAAAAAAGAACCGTCGACGGATGCTCTCTATCATGCATGTAGTGAATCCGTAAGTTTCCTCTGATTTAAAATATATGCGATCTTTAGTGAAACATAATTAATCGCCGTCTTCTATGGCGGATCGTTATTTTACGGTATAAATTGAGATCGCAATCAATAACATTTTTCTTGAGAATCAGAGAAACAAAAAATGGACCTAACATCGTATTAATCCAGTAGCAATATATTTTTTTTATCAGAGGAAACAGTCATTATATATATATATTATAGGAGGTGGAAATATTTTGGCATATAAATTATTTAAAACTTTTATTTTATAAAAATGGAATAGAAAATTTAGATTATAAATTATGTGGGAAAAGTTATAATTGACACACTAAAGGAAAAAATTGAATCGCCTTATTTTTGTCCTAAAAGATTCAATTCCAAAAAGTCGAATAACTATTCTATCGAATTATTAAAAATTCGAATTATCAAATTATTAAAAGTTCAAATAATTTGAAATTTTTTTAATTCGAGCATTTAACATTTCAATCTTTTAGTTATTCGAAATTTTAACAATTCGATGTTTTGGTGATTCGAACTTTTAATAATTCGATTCTTTGCACTTTTAGAAATTTGATCTTTTGGTAATTCGAAACTTTAGAAATTAGTTCCTTTAATAATTCGAACTTTTTGGAATTTATTCTTCTGAGATTTAAGATTCAAGAAATGAAAGAAAAATTCTTCTAAACACAAAAAATTCCAGTTCATATGTGTTTTATTTTCACTATTCATTTCGATACATCAAGTTGAATCATCATGAAAGTAATTTTCATAAAGCAAAGAAACAGAAATAACCATACATTAATGACCTTCAATTTAGTTTCACTAAATGATTTTAAATATCCTTAATTTAGATGTGTTTTAAATAATTTGTTTACACAATAATTGTTGTAAACAATTGAAAAATATTTTTGATTTTAAACAAATTAGGAATCAGTGTTTAATTTCATGTTGGATTTATTAATTAATTTTATTAATATATTAATTACCGAACTCAAAAATGCCTAAGACATAATTTTCATGTAAATCCTACAATTTTATTTTTAAATCCTCCGCCATATTAAATCCGCTATTTTGAATCTACAACTAATTTTAGATTTTTGATCATCGAAATAAAGAATCTCCGAGTCAAAAAATTTTTAATTGATCAATTTTTCAAAATTTCGTAAACATTGTGATTTTTAAACATTTAGTTTTCATTTTTCTCTTTGTGGAACATTTAATGCAGGTCATTAATGGGTTAAAATTTTAACTAAAAAAAAAGTACATGTCAAGTTTGTCGCAAGTTACGAAAATATTTCTTTTTGACTTTCTTGAAATCCCCAAAAAATTAACTTTTCTTGTAAATTATTAAAATTTTAATTTATTTATTATTAATTAGGTATTTATTATGATTTATTTATTTTGTTATTTTTTTAAATCAACTTAATATTTTCATTAAAATTCAAACAGCTTATCGCGAATTTTTATAACAAGTTTATAATCTAATGTGACGTTTCACGAGAAAAGAAACCTTAAAGGCAAACAATTTTAGGGTATGTTTAGTAATAGTTTTAGCCTGATTAAACCATTTTTAATTATAAAAATAAAAATCAGTTTTAAAAACTCAATAATTTGTATTGAGAATTGAGCCTTTTCCACTTTAAACTATCATAAACAAAACCCATAACTTTGATCCTTTTTATGTATTTTTAAAAATTACAAACATAACCTACAAATTTTTGTCTTTAAGGTCCCTTTTCTCGTGCAGAGCCATGGGCTCTGAAGAAAGGGACTTAAAAAGCAAAAAAATTATAGTTTATCTTTATGATGGTTTTATACCTTGATTAAAAGTTTTTTTTTAGAATGTAAAATAGCCTTAATAATTTGTATTGAGAATTGATCCTCTTTGTCTTTTTCCACTTTAAACCATCATAAACATAACCTATAATTTTTAAGTTATTTCTTTTTGTCAGAGCGCACTACACATATTTGTAGCATATGATTGGTTTTTAACAACAAATCTTATTTTATGATGAGTATTTTCATGTTGATACAACTTTAAGTTTTTAAAAATTCAATTTCAATAATATTTGAGGATCGAAACACCCATTTATATTAAGGAATCGCATCTTAGACACTAATAGACACCAGACTTATTATTAAAAATCTTTTGTGAATATTTAATCATAATTCTATTTATCACAAACTATGATAAAGAAATATGACAACTTTCACTCATTTATTTCCATATGGTATGTTTCGATCCAATGATTATTAATCTAAATGGCACAACATATGGCGTCAATATTGCCTAGCAATATTCGCAATATTGCGGCAATACGTTCTGCAATTTTGAAAATATATTAATACTATACAGTATACATATTTATTTCTCAAATAATAATTTTTAATTTTTTAAGCTACTAAGACTATTTCCATCTTAATTTCGTTCTTCGAATTTATGACTGAAGTTTAAAATGCACAGTTCTAAAAAAAATATTTTTAATTTTTAACAGTTTTTTTTCACTACAAGAATTTGAGAATTGTCTTCATAAACCACCTAAAATATTGTAAGATTTGTCTTGATGTTTTTATAAGTAAGACTAAAAAACAAAGTTATTAATAGTTTGAACATTTTTCTTCATATATTATTAGATTTATTTCTCATTGAAAACAAGACTGTTGCAGTATTTATCTTCGTAGTATTAAAATATTGTCATTTTATTTAAAAAAGCAAAAATTTCTGGTTTTCGATTGTATATTTTATTCAAAATTCAAATTTATTATTAAAAATATAATTTTTAATAATAATAATATAAAAATAATTTACTATATATAAATATATATATATAAAAAAATTTGTATATAAAAAATCAGTTGTCTTAAACATGGTTTCGACTCTGGACCACTTTTTTTAAATCGAAAAACTGAAATTTATCTTTTAAATAAAATACTTCTATAAACGAATATATGAAAATTCGCATGGATTATGGAAAAAAAATTAAAATTGAATTTAGTTGGTAGATTAGAAATATTTATTTTACATATTTATAATATCAACGTATTAGTTTTTAAAAATTTTTGATATAATTTTTTAATTTTTATTTAAATATGTATTTACTTATTGCGAATTTGTAGATAGTTATATATATACATATATATATATATATTATATATTTCTAGAAACTGATCCAAAACACAAATTTGACACATATTGAAACCCGAACCAAAAGTTGGATCGTTTGCTCGATACTTGCAAGTCAATTGCCTCTGGCAAGTCACTCCATATATATATAAATATTATAAATATATGGGTTAGGAGATTTTTTTTCGTCGGTATTATTATATAAACTACATTAGAAAAGTAATTTTTTGAGTGACTCTGAGAGTACTTTACAAATCATGTACCGAGTAACGATCACTACTGTTAAGGATATTATATCTATTTTTTGTAGAAAACCAAAGACCACTTAGAAGAGAATAATGAAATGGTAAGCACGACGCGCATTTATATTTAGCGGACACATTATTTATTTAGAAAAGAATATTATTTTTTGAAAAACATTTATTGCATTTGCACTTACCAAGCGACGTTTAAAATATATTTAGTTATTTTTTTTTTAATTTTGAAATATTGCCCGAAAAGAAAACGTAAAAATAAACACATAAGTTTATCCACAGGATATCTTCTGGATATCTCTATAGACTTTCATAAATGTCCCCCAGATATCCCATAGATATCGTCAGGATATCCCACAGATATCATCAGGATATCCCACAGATATTTTCAGGATTTTCTCAGTATATCTTCTGGATGTCAAGAAGATATTCTCAGGATACTGTTTTTAAAGTCATTATGAGACTACGAGTGAGAATATTCTGTGAATTAAATTTTATATATAAATAAAATAAAATGCAACTTGTTTTTCGAGAAAGTTGTTTAATTTGAAAAATTATTAACTAATTTTTTTCTCATTCGTGATTCATTTCTTTATTCATATGCTTAATATTGTCAGAAAATAAATTGGCAATAAATTCCCCGCAAATAACGAATAACTATTAATATTAATTATACATCAAGTGCATGAGTTTATTTAAAAACTTTGAAAAATGCGTTTCAAATCTTCATTTAAAATAAATTAGAAGCTCATAAGATTTTTCTTTTTATTATATTATTATTCATTATATTAGCTTAACAATTTTAACCTTTAAAAATATATGTTGAGATATTAAATATCCCGTGAATATCTTAAGAATATCCCACGGACATCCCGAGGATATCCCGTGGATATCATGCGATATAATATTCAATAGATATTTCGTGGATGTCTTAGGGATATCCTATGGATGTCCTGTTGATGTCCCACAGACCGGCGGTTTGGATATCCTAGGGATATCCCAAGATATCCTGGGGACCATTCTAGGATATCGACCATTGATATGGATATCCTATGCATATCCTAGGGATATCCTTTTGTTATGAGGGTCTTACTAGGGCTTTTAAAGAAATTCCAAAAGTTATTATTTTTCTGTTTTATTTTAATCACATGTGAATAATAGAAATTTTCTAAACTTAATGTGCTGTCAAAGCAGTAAAATAATCATTCAAACATGAAATTAGTTTCAATTTGTGTTTCTCTGCGCTTCACGTAGTTAAATAAATATATTTTTAAAAACAAAATACCAAAGAAAAACAAATAAGTGTGAAAAAATTTTGTTTTTAATTAATTTTCAAAAAAATAAATATGGAAGAGAAAAAAATATTAATTTATGATAATTAAAAGATTAATTGCAATGTTTATCATTGAGAATATAGTTATACTTAAATTTAATATACAATTAAAAACGTAAATAATTAAAATTATTCCTAAATTTTATTAAAAATTATTTATTACCTACTTTTAAAGTAGTTTAAAAAAATTTCTAAAATTTTTATCACAAATTTAAAAAAAAATATCTATTTTTAATAGATAATTATAGTTTTATTTTTAAAAAAATGCTAACTAAAATTATTACTTTCAACTTAATGTAGAGAAATCAAATTTCTGAAAAGGAGATCATTGTCGACTTTGAAACGTAATAATGTTAATTTATTGTTAACTTTTTATTTGTTAAGTCTTTATTGGTCTTATTTGTTATTATTAACAAATCTGGAGGACGTTAATCAATATTTTTATATTAGTAAAAAAATTTTTTATATTTTTTAACAAATAAAGTCATTAATTGAATCATCAATTTCGAAAAGTGCTCAACTCTCAAAAACCGTGACTGCCATTTTCACTATCGATTGTTATGCGAAAATGTCACGCTTTTTCGAGTTGAGTTCTTTTCAAAACTCACA